CCAAAAATTATCCTGAAACTCTACCGAATTTTTTAGACAAAAAAGTCATAAATAAAGTCAGAACTCTGCCAAAATTAAGAATACGACTGCTAAGGAGCTAAGGTAAGTGGATGCTATGAATTCATAGTCTACATAGTTTAGAAGTATTTTACGTACTTTCAATAAAAAAATGTGCACATGTTTTATTTGTCTTTCGTATTTAGTAAGTAAGTATTTGTTAAAGTTTTACTTCGATATAAGTATTATTTCGCTTTATATTTTCGAAATGTGATTTTTTTATGTGTATCACTCATTATGGAAAGAAGTTATTCTAAAAGTACCTGTATTATGCTAGGCTTCAATCTTGTCGTACATAATCATTATGTGTTCGTATGTATTGGCAAAGTGATAAGTGTATGCCCGACATAATCATTTCGTGTTGGGGTATATGGGAAAACAGTCTGATCTACATGCCCTAACTATTCCGTATTCTAGGGGTAGTAGTGTTTTAAGGTACTTATGTATATCGTTGCATGTTCGGGTACATGAGAAACCAGTGATAAGTATTTGTGCCTACGCATAATGTATGGTAACGGATTGATCCTCTATAATAGTGATGAAGCATACAACATGCATATGTTTTCTGATTTGTGCTTTCGTCTTCTGATTCGTATATGTTTTGGAAAGATTATATGATATATATTTTGTTGTGTGTAAAGAAACTATATATTGTATGTACTATGCTGTGATTTCATAATATTACTTATTAGGATATTTTATCTGACCCCCCTATCACCCTCTAGATACTGAAGATACCGTTGCAGAGTGAGCAGTGATACAGAGAAAATTTTTGAAGTCTAGACTCTGATATTAAAGTTATTGTTTCGTAATTTTGTTTAGTAATGTAAATAAAAAAATTTAGAGCCTCGTACATATGTGTTATATTTTATATTTAAGGTATATAACACTTCAACGACTCTTTTATTATTAATAAAGTTAAGTTATTTTACTTAACTTGAGTTTAATGATTTAAAGGAGTATGCTTCAGTCATTAGTCTATATGACGGGGTGTGGTCCGTAACAAAAGCAATATGGATATTATTTTATGTAATCAAATCCGTTAGACTATTTTATCTACTTCTGTTGTCCCCACCCTATCTGAAAAGGCATGAGATGACCACTCCTAATGGATGATGGTGTGAAAGCACATAGGATATCCTAGGACCACTATG